AAATACAGCCACTAAAAGATCATAGCGGAGTATTACTACTACTCGCTAATGATTTTTCGTTGGAAGCATTTGGTACAAAGGAAAGAGGGAGAATTTGGCAAAAAAAAAAAAGTAATATCACCTCTATTCGTAGCCTATCTTGGCTTTTCACTTTTCCCTTAATTTTCTTTATCTCGAATATTTTTCACAATGCATCAAGTCTCGCAATTTTTTTCTCACAACGATAATTTCACTTCTAATACCACCGAAACGTTCGTTCCCTTTATGCAAACTATTATAGTCCCATTTTTCGTGTAATTACCGATATTCGTGTTCAGAGTGTGTGGTTAGAATAATTTGTAAGTTACTCATCAATTCTAATTTATATTCTATCTTTCGTGTAATTCATTTGTAATTGATTTTTCATCAATTCTAATTTATATTACAAATAAGGCGGACAGGGTCCGGACCAGACCTAATTTATTCCTAATTTAAGATACTCTTATGTGACACTGCTCGCTCCAAATAATCGTTAAATAAACACCTGAAGAATAATTTTCTAAGACAGTAGAGATGTTTGCAAGGTGCTACAACTTTTCTATCATTCAATTTTAATATTAGTCGGAACTTATTTTAACGAAATACACTTAGTATTTGTAATGAAGTATTTAACATCCAGGGTGAATCACGTGATGGTAATACCGACGGCCATCCTAAATCCCATGGGATCCATAAATATCCCCGAAGTCGTTTCAGGTACATTCAAACTTCGTAATTTAATATATTAGTTACGCTGACATATTGCCACTGTAATACTTACATAATTTAGCGCAAATCTAAGATTGTCTTTTAACTTCTTTCTTTGCAGAACGAGAGTTTCAGAAAAGGCAGGTTACCTTCCGCGATCTAGAAATATCGCAAGCCCCATTCCACCTCTAATTATTTTTATTTATTTGAACAATATCACTATACTTCAGTTTGACGTTAAAAACGAAAATTCTGGAAGCGTGTCAATTAAAGTATTTATCTTAGGGAACTGATACACCGTACGAAATGCGAACGCGCAGCAACTAAACAGGGTGAGGCTGGACGCGTGGTACAACCGGGCAGGGGGTGATTCTACACGTAAAAATAAACCGAAAATGAAGAATAACATTTTTTCGTAAGAAGCTTAGTTTTCGAGAAAATTGAATTTAAAGATTTTCTACAAACTTCTGTTTGCATATTTATGTCGATAAAGGGAGGTAATGTCACATTTCGCGAAGAAACAACGTAAATCTCCTGCAGCTCGAAGGAGAAGTTCTACAGGCTTTCGAACAATTAAAGCGCCAAAACTTGATTCGAAGTGTAAAAATTTGTAAAGGTCACGTTGAATTAGTTCATTCGGTAATGTACTTGTCATGGCATTATCACTGCTTATTAGTAAGAACATGAAGCCCAGAGATAGTTAAATGCACGCGTACACGATAGATATTCAAACTCGATTTTCTCGAAAACGAGGCTTCGAACGAAAAAATGTTATTCTTCATTTTCGGTTTATTTTTACATGTAGCATCACCCCCAGCTCGGTTGTTCCACGCGTCCTGTCTCACCCTGTGTATTTGACTGGCGCTGGGCGCTTCCAGAGCAGTGAACAGCATGCACTGTGGTAAACATCATCTTTTTGCTTCAATTTTCCCACAATCTCCCCAACTATTTGAACGGCGCATTCTATAGAAAAAACTTCATGGAATCGAATGGTATTTCGTTCAAATTGATCTGAGGTTGGGAGCATCAAATCGGCATTTGAAATTTTAACATCACGAATTGCTACATTTTTTGATAATAAATAAAATTTCGTGTACACGTTTGGACAGAGCATTCTTAAACTTTGAAGTGGGCGCAAGTAGAAAGTAAATTTTTCAAAAATTCTAATTATTACATAAATGGTGGTTTGAAAAAGAAAACCCTATATTTACCGAAAGAAAAATAACTTTAAACGTTTTTAAAAAATTAAATAACTGAAATATCGAGAAAATGACAAGCTATGTTATAGGTTAATACATTTTTATTTATAAATCAAGAAGAATCTTTTATTTCAGACGTTCTAATCCTTACCGGCGATGGCGGCCAGTATTTGATGCTCTAATAGAAGAAGTTTCACAATAACTTCTCCATTTTATAACATTTTTAGTTTTTAAAAATTGGAGAAAAAAGCTGAAAGCTACATCTATATAGCTCTGAGAAAAATTGAAACTTTTCATTCGGTAGTTTCCCATGAAAAAAATTCCCAAGCTTCACCTATTTTTAGATGCCTCAGGGTGGTGCACCCTCTTAAGCAGAACCGAAATATTAATACCGAAATGGTGAGTCGCTAGTTCATTTCGTTCAATTTGTCAAAACACTAACATTAAATATCTCAACAACTGTTCGAGATAAAAACCTAAAATATTAAACACACAGGGTACAGTAAAATCACTTTTTGGGCATTTTTGCGTCGATATACGTTTCCGAAATAAAACTTTATGCAAACAATTTTAAATAATAAAGCTCGAAACAACCGTGAACATTTTGGTTGCCTGCACAAGGGTTAAATCACGAGAGATTATCAGCAGATTCCGTCGGTTTGAGAAAAATCGGTACCTATGACTGAAGTTTGTGCATTTTCACGTGGAATGGCTCACGCGTAACCTATCGACACATTTTAAAATCACTATTGCAGGGGAAAAGGAAGGGAAAACTCACCAAGCTGTGACTGATGCGTTGGCGTTGGAGCCGGTCGAACCTTGTCTGGAGGACACCTCCTGGTGGCAGCTACGGTGGCAGGCAAAGGTATACTTGTCGATCCACCGCCAGGACCGCACCCTGCACCGCCAACAACCGCCTGCTTATTGTACGGAGACGGTAATCTGCAACAAAGAGATGAAATTAAAATGCTAAGCCCGAATAGAATCGATACTGTCATTCACACTGATACCATTTCTCGCCTCGCTGAAACAGTAATCGAACTACTATCGCAGCTTTGTCTTTTTGTATTTCGAATATCACTTTCTTTTCGATCTATGTCTCCTCGCAACAATACACAATTTTTCGAAGTAAATAAAGCTCTATAAGATTATACAGAACAGATGTTCTTAGGTTGCTGCATAATTCGATTTTTCAAAACAGCTTGTACTTACTTCGAACTATATACAGTGGATTCCGGTTAATCGGGACACATTGGGACCGGACTAATTTGTCCCAATTAAGCGGCTGTCCCAAAAAAAGCGAATTTCAACAGGCAAAATCTGAACGTGAAAAATGAAGCCAAAAACGATTTATTGAAAAACGTATGTAATATTCGATCTTGAATACAAATGTGTGTTTAAGCATGCAAACAAAGCTAACAATAAGTAACAAAATAACATTGATAAGTAATCAAAAATAAGTAAATAAACGCATATATTGTGTAATGTGCTTATATTCCGTTCTTCGGTATCTGTCCCAAATAAACGGCGGACCCGCTTAACCGGCGCCCTAATTAACCGGAATACACTGTATTTTCCATCGTTATTTATAACAGTTCGCCATTTATGTGAAAGTTGCTATATGTCTCTTTCATAAAGATCTTCAGATTTATCATGAAAAAAATAACTTATTGCACTACCTACGGCTTCAAAATTATTGAAGACTTTTCCGTCTACATTGGACTGCAATGATCGAAAAGTGTGAAAAGCTGTTGGTAACAGATTTGGGAAATATCGTGGACGAGGAATAAGTTCCCATTGCAGTTTCGATTTTATTTCTTTTATTTATCTCCTTTATTATTAAATAATGAAGGAAACAAATTTTGCTCTCTCTCTCTCTCTATCACACGGGAAATCGTCCGTCCCATTTAGCTTCCCATTGGAGCTATCTGGATTTTAACGGTTTGATATAGAGAACGTTATTATTTAAACCAGCTTCGTTACCGATATTTTGGTCGCATCGTCAATCAGTTTTCGCGCCTCCAAGCAACACAAAGATGTCCTGCGCACGGCACCCTTCGCTACGACGAAAGAAATGTGCGAGGACGATTGATGGGGAAGGAAGAATTCCATAGAAAGAAACGGTGTGTGGCATGAACACGAAACGACCACCAACGAGCCTCTTCCCCCTCGTGTTCTCGTTTACCAGTATTTTCTTTGAGCAACGTTAACGCCCTCGTGGAGTATCCTTTTTTTTTCCTCACTTCCGTTCTTTCCTTTCTTGTTGTACTACTGTTGCTCTCCTCTCGTCACCTTCGCTTTTCAAACAAAAGCATCAGTTTTTCTCACTCGATTTGGTTACATGTTTACTAAAATTTCGCGGATAAAAATTTCCGTTAATCCCTTGCTTCACATCACCGCGTTCTCCATTTGTTGTAAGTTACAACGTACAGTAAACGTGATGTAAGTCCTTTCATTCTTATATTGAGATGTTGAAAGGTTTGCGTTTGAATTAATTAAAAAATGTTGGCGAAATGATGATAATTATTAATATTGTTAAAGCAAAACGAGGTTTTTCTAGCTAAGTGGACTTAAACCACTTTCAGAAAAAGCATTTGTGCAATATATCGTTTTTATGTGAGAAATGACGACAATTAACAGATTAGAATCGAACAAAAAAATCAGAAAGCGCCTTTAACACGTAATGTTCGATGCTTAATTGCCGAACCGGTACGCGAGTTTAATCACACCTTGATTTATTCAGTGTGAAATGTTAAGAGCTAGTTTTATTTGCAACAGAGTGATACTTCAAGTGATGTCACCACGAGACAAGACCTCCAAAAAAGGGACGCACTTCTGCCTCGTTTCCTTAGTTTTATCCGCTCGGCCAGTTGCTGATTGGTGGCCGATTTCTTCTGGGGGTTGTAGGCGCTGACTCCTCATTGGAGGAGGTTGTTTAGGTGGGACGCAGCTCTTTCCAAGGGAAGGGGATTGTTGCTTAACATTAGAAAAACCCTATTTTTGGGTTTTTCTCAGGGGTTGCCGCGTGACTTTCCACCGCGCACGTGACCTCTTCACGGGGGGTAGGTACGCGCGAGAGGACCGGTACATCGGTCGTGACTTTCCACCGCGCACGTGACCTCTTCACGGGGGGTACGGTACGCGCGAGAGGACCGGTACATCGGTTTGGCGGCCAAGATAATCCGCGAGGGTTCGTCGCGATTTCTTGCGAGGCAACAGAAATACGGGCCGATCGAGATTCACGAAGGTTCCTTTGTCGCGGAATCATTCAAGACAGCATCGTGACAAATTGGTGATGATAAAAGAACGTTCGATAAAAAATTGATGTTTTCCGTAAGTTGAGCAGACGACAGCACAGTGGGTTGGCGTCAAGTAAAGGGAGAACGTGTCTTAATCTCGCAAGGAAGAGGCTGCCAGGATAGTGCGTTTCGCGAATATTTACAACAGCTATATCGGAAATTAATGTCCCCAGTTGGTGTTGCGAGTAGCAACGACATTGGACCTACGTTTCGCAATTTCTGTCGACTTGCAACTAAACGACATATTAATATGGCGATATGTAACGTGCCTCGGCTGCAAATATCCTCTTTACGATGTCTGTACCCGTCGTTTGCAAGAGAGAACGGCGTTTTTTCCGAGTGGCGGTACGCCGCGAAAAACGTTATTAAGCTTATAACACCGAGAATGAAATATCGAGAGTAAGTTTGCATCTGTAAAGCCCTTTCACGGACTACGTTTCACCGTTCAATATTGCAAACCTAACGAGGTATAGGACGAACTTCGAAAGCTCCCTAAGAGGCTTAAATGAAGTATGATAGTCGAATGTAACGAAGCTAAATTCGAATTTAATTGGATCACTTTGTGATATTAGTTTCCAAATGACAAATGTGTATGTTCAAGAACACAACATAGAGAGTATCTCTTTCTAATCGGCATATAATAATGTCTTTAAACGCCTTGCACCAATGCCCTACTCTTATTCCACTAGAACCGCAATGTAAATCGAATAAAATAGAACACATTGAACACGTCAACTTGTACAAAGTTACGAGAGTTTTGAGGATTTCACAGCCCGGTATGATACAGTTTATACTGTTCGAGGGTTTCGAGTGTAAGTCTTGTGCAGGATATGTTTCCCAACGTTTCGCCAGCATAGCAACTAGCTTCATTAGGAGTCTGAGGACGCACTGATAACGTACTGGTGACGTACACTATTATCAGTGCGTCCTCAGACTCCTGATGAAGGTAGCTAGAATGCTGGCGAAACGTTGGGAAACATATCCTACTGGACACGGCTTAGGGTAAGAACATAACGAGCAAGTTTAAGTTAACAGGGTATTCAGCTGACTGAGAGAACAAATCAAGTAAAACAAATGCGGTATCACACAGAGAGGCGGCTGTCTAATCAGTTCGCAGCACAGTTGCCTAGAGTGCTCAGCAAACCTCTAATTTTGTTAATAATTTTATTTATTCTCAAGTGAAAATGAAAAAGTGTGTTCTGGCCTCTTGTTCGAAGCGAACTAAATTCTAGTCAGCAGAACAATCACGCTACGCACACTCTATCCTGACTTGGTACACATCAAGTTTCATTGAAATCAAAATTTTTTTTTCAGCGATTTCCCTTCAGATTAACTTCTGTAAAATTGATACTATTTTTTATACAGAGCGGGGCAAAAACTTTATCCACGTGGAATATTTCTGTTATTTGTGATAGCATGAGAAAATGTTATGGCGAACATAATACGATGTGAATGCTTCTTACATGAGTGGAGGAGCAGAGAAGATTCCACGGTTGTTGCTATTTTTTTTATATAAATTCGCTATATTTTCTATCAGACAGCCCAACGTAAGCTTCGATACTTGCTGTATTGAATACCATTCGTTCTCGTAACACCTGTTTTACACTCCGATACACTGAAATGCGTAAAAGGTTGCTATAAATATTATCAATTAGCTGTAATTATCAGTGAAATGGCGTGACCTCAAGCTTCGCCATACGAGATACGAGGCAGCACAAGCGAGTCATTATATGCTTAAATGAATGCAATTAATTACAAATCTCTTTATCGGGTTGATACAGCGCTCTTTTAGCTGTACACGCATTATTAGGGCAAATCATGTATCAAGCGGAAAGAGTTTCATATACTACGTCCGTGCGTAGCTGTCCACACACGCGCGTATCGTTGATTGTGCCGTGTGTATTCGCGCGATATGGTCACATCGGAGATAATTAATGCAGATACATGCACATATACAAATATGCACCGGTACCCGTGGATACAACGCGGGGGAAGAAGCTTCTGTTAATTACTCAAGCTTCTGGCTTCCATATCTGACGGGAGGGCCTCGAGGATCAATATCCGATTTCTCATCCCTGCTACTTCGAGCATTCCCTTTGCACCTCGGTCTCGTACACCCACTTTCGAAAATTTCCCGGTTTCTCGACGACTGAAATCAAATCAAGCCTGCTCGGGTGCCTTGCGTACGAGGTGTCGTCTGAACTGATGGTACAACGTACGAAAACATCCAAAGAACACGACGAAAGCACACGATTAACACTAGAACAGCCGACCGGGTCAAAATGGACCCATTGGCAACTTTCCAGGAAAAGTGAAGATGATCGTTTATAACTTTCCAACTTTATTTTCTGTATGTATACTTCTATTTGTGTCGATACGAAATAACTAAGAAAAATATCAAATATATATATATATATAGTCCCTTTCCTTCTTGAAACCCTTGTACGATAGAAATTTTGCTATGGGTCAAAATGACCCTGCGTTCGTCTCCCGCGTCCGCCTAAAACCATTCGCCTTCCGAGGGTTGAATAAAAATTCGCCGATGGGTCCATTTTGACCCAGCCGGTCGTTCCACTGTTAACGATTTTTATATCGACGAAAAGGTATCCCTCGAACAAAGGAAACAACGCTGAGGTAAAAACG